TGAGCTAGGGGGCTTACATCATGTGCGCTGTAAATGTGGAACTTTCCGCGTTGACCCACGACTGCTGATAATTCCTGCCTCAGACGTCAGCCGGCTATATAAAGCTCCACCGACAGCCACATACATGTCAGAACAACCAACTAAACGCCAAAAAATGTCAGATCCAACAGTCGCCAAGAGTTTCCTAAGGGACTGGGAAGCCCCAGAATTTGCGAAGAAGATGAAAAATGTTCCGAAGCACAGAATGGAGGTAAGCTTGTAACAGCACACACGTGTATCTGTTGCCGGCTTTTATGGAATTCTACTTTCATTTTATTGGTAACCGTGCATTCAGTAACGTGTTACTGGTTCATATCGTGTCGTAACACACAGTCAATGTTAGCCCGATACGCGAAATGACAGTCGAAATTTCCAAAAGTCGTGGTTACAATCGAAGCCAGGGACGGTAAAGTTGCCCGTCGCTGACTGTAATGTATGGTGTTCGTTCAACAGTGGCCGGCTCAGTTTCGCCTATTTTACATTTAATCAATTGTCGTATATAAAAGGTACAAAATGTCGGGTTGACTTTTCGAAAAGGTCCAAATCATTCCAAACGCAAGATATCGCCCATTCCATCAAAGTTCAAGTTGCCGGTCTGTACCTGGGCAATATACACATTTGAATCGCCCCATTGCATCGACCTTTTATCAATATCATGGCCAAGAGTGAAATAATTTTGAACGAGGCAACACAACTATAGATGATGCATATCGTTCCCATGTGCGGTGAAAAGCTGTGCACTGGGAACAATCATTTATTGCAGGTTAAAAAGAACAATGATTGTTATGCATGTACTAGAATTATATTTGTAAATTGTGTAGGCCTACTCCCACCATGTGTTCAGCATATATTGTTGCACATTGCACCATGTCCTATGATTGGCTGTCATTGCATAGCAGGGAAGGTCTAGTGGTCATTTGAATAACAATGACCTCAAATGTGGTGAAGCCCCATAAGTGAGTAGTAAAAGGTAATGAATTCTGTACCAGTTTCTGGGCACGTGCCAATCAAACACAAATCTGGTAACCTGAGGAGTTTACTTGATAGGTTACTATTTACTGTAGAATACTTTATTTTCACTTGGAATTTATTTTCGCTATTTTCGCTGAAGGGATGATTCCGTGAAAATAAAATCCAGCGAATATACTTTTTTTTCCTATATTTCACATTAAACTCATCAGAAATCAGTGAAAATAAATTCCATACAAAACGCCTAAAAAGCCTTTTCAGCGAAAATTAATTCCAGCGAAAATAAAGTATTCCACAGTAACATGTTGGTATAGTATCTGTTGGACACTGTTTGACCTTGAGAACTAAACTTGTGGGCAAAGTCTGTCAAGGTATCTTATTATCAATACCATCAGGTCGTTACTTCAAGGGGCAATAAAACAAGTCTGCCACTTAAAATGAACTGAATCATAAATGCGCATGTGGTCAACTAAGTTGAGGTCAGTATGACCTATCATGCCCTGACCTGAGCTTGACCTCAATATATAGGTCACATTTGAGTCTTAAATTATCAATTAAAAAAATTGTTTGTAAGAATTCATATATCACTCAAAATCCCCCATTTAAAGATGCCTTGGTTGTCTTTTCCATATTTTTGCTGTGGCTACTACTGTATAACATATGAAACATACATATTCAGTGTTCTCCACAATCCAAAATAGCTGGTGGGCGGCCTAATTAGCATAAATTTGCATATTAATTTGCATGT